CGTAAGCTTGTAATCCCTACTAATCCCTGTACTCTGGGAAGTTGAGGCAGGAGGATGCAAGGTCAACCCCAGCCTGGGCAATTTAGTGACTTAGCAAGCTTATTTAAAGATGTAGCTTATTGTGAAGGCCCTAGGGTCAAACCCTAGTAGTGCAAAAAATAAAAGATAAATTAAAATTAAAATTAAAATTAAAATGAGGTCTTGCTGAAGTTGCTTGTCATCAAGCTTAGGCAGATAAAGGTGTTGATATGATCTGAGAAATCAGGTTTAGAGAGGTGAAACAGTTAATGGTTTATCTCTTTGGGGAAGGGGATGCTGAAGGTTGAAGCCTGAGCCTTTTGCATGGGCTAAGTGGAGGCCTTGCCTCTGAGCCAGGCTGCAGTGGCTGGTCTTGATTGTGTGGTAGTGAGTTCTCCACACAGAGAGAGAAACCTGGAGTAGGTGAAAACTAGGAGTTTTCTGTGGTTCTGTCTCTTTGTCCCTGCCTTACAAGGACGTTAAGTTTGAATTGACTGATCTTTTTCTTTTTGTTTCTGCTTCTGCTACCAGAGTTCTGGGACTTGAGGGGTCTCCAGGCTCAGTCGCCCCTTCATAATGCCAGTCAAGGAAAACAACTTTGGGGAAGGGTAGGACAGGAACTTTGCTTGTCGTGACCATGCTGTGAAGCTCAGATACAGAGATCACGTCTGTCTTCTTGGGGCTGTTAGAAACTTTGAGGTTTTACAGAAAAGGGGAACAAAAGCAAGGGCTGAAGGTTTTTATAGCTAGCAGCATAGGTGATCCCTAGGCAAGTCCTGGTCTGGTTGGTCAGTCTCTCAGGACAGGTTTTCTGAAGTCCTGGGAGGTCCTTTGACATTGGAGGGGTCCTTGGTTCCAACCTGGAGTGGTTTGCCAGGCCCCAGATAGTTACAGGCTTAGGACAGAGGCTGGAGACGTAGGCACACTTCAGGGCAGGGATGGCAGACTTTTAGAGACCAAATGCTCAAACTACAACCAAAACCCACCTACTTGTGGCAGTGTACCAACACTGCAGTGAGACCTGAATACAAGTTTTTGTTTAGAAAAACAACTCATACATTAATATCTTTTGGTTTAAAAGCACATCGCCACCATTGCTCCAGTGGGTCTGGAACTGGACGTTGTAAAAGCTGGAGATTAGGTGTCCAGCAAAGCCTGAAGAGGACATTGGTTACTCTTACCTTGGTGCCTTCAGTTCTGAAGGGGGATGAGACAGGCTAGGTAAACTAGGGCTAATCAACCTTGAACGCCCTTCTTACAAATATGATTAATTATTTGAACATGTGTGACTAACACACCTGCCAGGGAGCTGATCCAGAGTTTTGAGGTAAGATATTATAAAACAAGGCAGAAAGCCGGGCTTGGTGGTGCATACTTACAATCTCAGTACTTGGAAGACTGAGGCAGGAGGATTGCTGTGAGTTCGAGGTCAGCCTACATAGCAAGACTCTGTTTCAAAAAAAACAACACAACAAAACAAAGGCAAAGATGCCAAGCTTTATCCTGCTGTTACCCATTGAGTATCTGTATTCCCAGCCTCTAGGTCCCTGCTAAACTTTTCCCAAGCTTTCCTCTGTCTACAAAACCTATGTTCTTTGCTCTCACCCCCAAACTTCTGTTCTGTTTTATGGAATTGAGATCCCAGTTCTAGAGTTGAAAATATAACTAATGAAAAGCTTCATATCAGCCTCTGTGTGTGTGTGTGTGTGTGGTACCACTGAACTACATTTCCAGCCCTTTTTTTTCTGTTTCTGTTTTTGTTTTTGTTTTTAAATTTTGAGATAGTCTCATCAAGTTAATATATTATCCAAAGTGGCCTCAAACTTTCATTTCTCTTGCTTTAGCCTCCCAGAATGTTGAGATTACAGTTGTTTGCTACCATACCTATACGGAATTTTGTGAGTTTTTAAAATTACAGATTTAATTTTGTTAACACACAGGGCTATTTGGATTTTCTGCTTCATCTTGTGTCTATTTCAGTAAATTGTATTTTCAAGGTGCCAGTGTGTCTCATTTGTCTTTTGAAATTTCTTGGCAGGTAGTTGTCTGGAATATTCACTTACTACCTTTTTTATGCCTGTGTGATTGTTGCAATGAACCCTTTGCTCATGTTGCTGAACTGTTGCTCTGTTCTCTTGTTCTTCTTGGTCAATCTGTCTAAAGATAAAGAATAAACTCAGTTTCTCCTATACTTTCAACAGTCAGTAGCGACTTCTATGACCAAATGTGTGTGTTTCCCCACACACTAGCTAAGTAATCAGTGAGCTGGTGGATACCAGCTGGGCATGCCCCAGTCCAGTTAGATTCTGGCTGTCTACCTGGAGATAGCATCCCACAGAGGAGGGCACCGTCCTGGACACTGCCTGCCACAAGCCCCAGGTTTTCCTATACTTCTGACCAGCTGTCTGTAAGTTAGGACTTTTACAACCCCCAGTTTAGGTTCCATTAATTTGCTACAGAGCTGACAGAACTCAGGGAAATACATTTATCAGCTTATTGCAGAGGGTGTTTTAAAGGATACAACCAGATGAAAGAGATACATAGGATGCAGTCTCAGAGAATGTTTTGGTACACTCTTGAGTCTTTGGACACAGTGGACCATCTGTTCAGATCCTGTGGGCAGAGGGCAGAAGGAGCCAAGGCTCATTCTAGGCAGCAACTGGAATCCTACCTAAGTCCTGTCCTGAAGGCTGCTCTGCTCTATCTCAAAAAGTTCTCTCCACATTTTTCCTGTTATTTTTCCTATTATTTTCATGTTTTATTATTTCCTTCTATTTCTTCTGGATTTTGCCCTGTTTTCTAGCTGTATGTAGGGTCTTGATGAATATGTCATATTAGTCAGTGTTCTCCTGAAAAACACAGTTGGTATACTGGTACCCATATCTATATCTAAAAGGAAATTTATGACTGGAGGATTAGAGTGCCTGCCTAATATGAACAAAGCCCTGGGTTTGATAAAATTAGGAATTGGCTCACATAATTAAGTCCCAAAATCTAGTTAGCAAGCTGGAGTATGAGGAAAGCCCATGGTATAGTTCCAGTTAGAGTCCAAGGCCTGAGAACCAGAGAAACCAGTGATGAAAATCCTAATCCAACTGGGTTTGAGCTTGCAGTCCTCCTGCTTCAGCCTCTTAGAATGCTGGGATTACAGTGTGCACTACCATGTTTGACTGTGATTTCTTCTTTGAACTCCATGTTTTTTGGAAGTGTGTTTTTGGTTTTTTTTATTTTGTTTTGTTTTGTTTTGTTTTGTTTGCAATACTGGGGATTGAACCCCAGGCTTTCACACTGAATTTCTTTCCACCCCTCCCCTCCCCTCTCTGTTTATTTGTAGAATCTCACTCAGTTGCCCAGGAGGGACTCAAACTTTCAGTCCTCCTGCCTCTTCCCAGAGTGCTAGGATTACCTGTACTAGTGTGTGCCACCATGCCTAGCAGTATCAAATTCTTGAGGTTTTCATATATATCTTACCTTTGAGTTTCTAATTTAATTCTTTTTAGAGTAGGTAACTTTTAAAAAAAAAAAGACAGGGTCTTGCTGTGTAGTTCAGGGTGGCCTTGAACTCACTATGTAGCCCAAGCTGCAACTTGTGATTATCCTTCTGCATCAGCCTCCCGAGTGCTAGGATTACAGGCATGTGCCACCATGCTGGCTTAGATAATATGTATGGTTTCAGTCCATTTAAGTTTATTGCTGGGCATGGTGGCACACATCTGTAATCCCAGCATTCGGGAGGCTAAGACAGGAAGATTGCTGAAAGTGTGAGGCCAGCCTGGGCTATATAGTGAATTCAGGGGCAGCCTGAACTATACAGCAATATCCTGTCTCAAAAAATTTTTTTTCATGGAAACCTGTTTTAGGGCCCAGTGTTATGTCTTAGCCAATTTACAATGTGCACTGAAAAAGAATTATCTTTTTTACGTAAGTTGGATGCTGTATAAATGTAAGTTCAAGATAGAATGTAGGGCTGGGGATTTAGCTCAGTGGCACAGTGCCTGCCTGGCAAGCTCAAGGTTGTGAGTTCGATTCCTGGTACCGGAAAAAAAAAAAAAAAAAAAAGAAAGGAAAGGAAAAAATAGAATGTAACCCAAGTACTAAGTTTGAATTTCATTGTTGGTGTTTACATTTACTTACTTTGTTTTTTCCCTGTGTTCTGTAAAATTTGATTTTTTAGAGTTTCTTTAGTGTTTCCCTTTAAACTTTCTGGCCATCCTTCATAGATTTTGTTTGTTTTTGTAATGTTACAGATGGCCCAGGGTCTTGTGGATGCTAGGTTGCTGGGCCAGTGCACTATGTCCATGGAGCCCCAGCCCTTCCTCACTCTTTGCATGGAGAGGTTGCTCTGGGAGTGAATGTACTCACACAGGGGTTAGGCAGCAGTATTGTGCCCCTGTGCATACAGTTGTAGACTGCCTTGGTTACTTTTCTCTTGTTGCTGAGACAAAATACCTCATGCCCAGTGTTAAGGAAGGAAATGTTTATTTAGCTCACAGTTTGTGGAGGTTTCAGTCCATACTTGGCTGGCTCCAAGCCAGAGTGGCACATGACACAGGGGCAACTGTTCATGGCAGTGGAAAACAGCAAAAGCAACAAGAGCAAAAAGGAAGGAGCAGCAGCTGGAAGAGCAAGCCTTTTTCCTTCCCTTATATTGTATGCACACTACCCACCCCAGGGTGGGTGTAGCACTCAACATCCATAATTCCAGCGTTGGATCATGGATCAATCATAAACTCTAGAAGCCCACCCCATAACTGCATGAGGCTTTGAGGAGACATCCAGACACAAATCATAACATAGACACATGCCCCATGTAAACTGCTTCCCCACTCCTTTATGGGTTGGAGTCTGTCTGCACACATTATAAACCATTGTTTTGATATTTGTTGTTTTTACTTTAAACAGTTGTATGGAATATGCTCTGTCATCTCTGCGCTTGGAATTTTTATCTATACTTAGTGCTTTCCTTTATTATTCTCTTGTAGATTAATCTACTATGGCAGACCAGAGGCAACGTTCACTCTCTACCTCCGGAGAATCATTGTACCATGTACTTGGGTTGGACAAGAATGCAACCTCAGATGACATTAAGAAATCCTATCGGTAAGTGACCGAGTGAGGCCCTCTGCCCTCACAGGACACAAACCTTCAAGTGGTTTAATGTCCATTTTTACCAAGAAGTAGTGAATAGGGAGGTTCTTGTGCAGATTCAGTATAGAACTGCTAACAGTTCTTTTGCATCTCTGTATGTGTGATGTGCTCCTCATAGCTTATAACTGTCGTGGTAATAACGTTCTCTTAGCAACAGAAACTGAACACTTGAGATGTTATAGCTATCTACAGTTCCACAGGGAATTGGAGCTGAGCCTGTGGAGAGATTGCTGGTACAGCCAGGGCTTTACAGGGTTAAGAGGCACACATTTGCAGTGATGACAGTCTCCACTCTATCATGACCTTTGGACTGAGTTTCCTCTAGAAGCCAGGCAAGCATGGTGGCACTCTGGAGTAAGAAGATTGAAAGTTCAACCCCAGGCTGAGCAACTTAGTGACTTAATGAGATCCTGCCTCAAAAAATTTTTAAAGGGGGCTGGGGATTTAGCTCAGCGGCAAAGCGCCTGCCTGGCAAGCGCAAGGTCATGAGTTTGATTCCTGGTACTGGAAGAAAAGACCAAAAAAAAAAAAATTTAAAAAAGGGCACGATGGAACACATGTGTAATCCCAGCACTCCAACCAAGAGGCCAAAATAGAAGAAAGGCAAGTTCAAGGTTTGAGCCCAGTCTGGGCAATTTAACAAGTTAATGAAACCCTGTCTCAAACAAAAAAACAAACAGGTTGGGAGTATAGCTCAGTGTAAACCTCAGTGAAGTGCGCGCGCGCACACAAACACACACATACACAGCAACATCTCTAATCCAGATGTTTCCCCTGGTTTTTCTTTTTCTTGAGATAGGATTTCATTATGTAATTCAGGCCAGCCTTGAATTCACAGTGGTCCTTCTGCCTCAGCTTCCCCAATGCTAGGATTACAGGCATGTACTAACACCCATCTGTAATCCCAGCACTTGGGAGGCTGAGTCAAGGAGGATCACTGCAAGTTTGAGGCCATCCTGAATTATGTAATGAGATCCTATTTTGTTTTTGTTTTTTTTTTTTTTTTTTTTTTGTTTTTTTTTTTTTTTTTTTTGGTTTTTCTCCGGTACCGGGAACCGAACTCACGACCTTGTGCTTGCCAGGCAGGCGCTTTGTCGCTGAGCTAAATCCCCAGCCCCGAGATCCTATTTTTAAAAATGAAACAAACAAGCATTGTGCAATTTGTGAAGCACATTCTGAGGTGCCATTATTGCACCCTCCCTGCCTATGACTTTAATGGCAAGTGTGTGGTAAGGTGGTTAGGGCACTAGGGCTCAGTGTTAAGGTTTTGTTTTGTGCTGCTGGAAGTTAGCAGAAGTGAGTGGTGTAGGCTCTGCCTGGCACTCACTACTCAGGCCTCCTCTTGAGGTGGGGGCGGGGTGTGGATTCATCCTGAAACAACTACAGGTTTCTTTTGACCCTTACATTGGACCTCTAGAATATTGGAAATTGAGATGGTAATGGGTAGATATTCCTTCCTTTGGACCCTCCAGTGGGTGAACATGAAATGCTAGAACAACTTAAGAGCTAGGAAATGGTTTTGGTTTGCAGGAAGCTTGCCCTGAAATATCATCCAGACAAGAACCCTGATAACCCAGAGGCTGCAGACAAGTTTAAGGAGATCAACAACGCCCATGCCATCCTGACAGATGCCACAAAAAGAAACATCTATGACAAGTATGGCTCTCTGGGGCTCTACGTGGCCGAGCAGTTTGGGGAAGAGAACGTCAACACGTACTTTGTACTCTCCAGCTGGTGGGCCAAGGTGAGGAGGGGATTGGGCAGCAGGCTCCCAAGTCCTGAGGGCACTAAGATAGGTGTCTAATGCCTAGTAGGATTGCAGACACTGAAGGATTCTGGCAAGCCGGGCATGGTGTCACACATATATAATCCCAGCATTTGAGAGACTGAAGGCAGAAGATTGCTGTGAGTTCAAGGCCAACCTGAACTACATAGTGAGACAAAAAAACAAAAAAGGATCGGTGCATTTGATTTAGACACTCCAAACTCCTAACAAATGATTTCAGGCATGTAGCGGTCCTCATTTTCCTCCTGTGCAGTGCGCAGAGGTTGTAGCTGGTATGGCAGCCAGCATACACAGCACACATCCATCAAGGTCCACTCTGAGCCACCTGTACCAGCAGGGTTTCTCTCATATGTGGCTCTGAGTTCTTAAGAGGATCGAAGTAGGAAACAGCCCTTTTCAGGATGGCATGCTTAGACTTTTTGTTGCCAGGAAAGGGGAAGATGTCTTGAAATCTAACATCAAAAACTCTTGATGTCTGTCATTTTGTTTTGCTTTGGGTACTGGGAATCAAACTCAGGACAGGCAGGCACTGTGCCACTGAGCTATATCCCTGGGCCTAATTTGTTTTATTTTTTTATTAACGTTCTTGTTTTCCCTACTTGTCTACTATATATAAGCCCAAAGAGTATGAATTATCCCACAACTCTTGGTTGTAGCAAGCCCATACCTGCCTTTACTAGTCAGCCCAAGGTCCCATTTATAAATTACTGCTCTCTCTCCTGCCCTCCCTTTCCAAGCTTTTTCTTTGTACATCCTCATCTGAAAAGCATACCGTTAGCATGGAGCGTGCCCTCTGCAGCTCTTGTCATATTGGGGAGGTCCCTTGCATGGTGGCCTGTGGGACCCTGGGAGGCCATGCAGTGCCAGCATTCTCTCCCTAGGCCCTTTTTGTGTTCTGCGGCCTCCTCACCTGCTGCTACTGCTGCTGTTGCCTGTGCTGCTGCTTCAACTGCTGCTGCGGGAAGTGCAAGCCAAAGGCCCCTGAGGGTGAAGAGACCGAGTTCTACGTGTCCCCTGAGGACCTGGAGGCACAGCTGCAGTCTGACGAGAGGGGTGAGTTCCTGCCCCAGGACCTGTGTGTGTGCTTGGGGCAGAGCTGGCATGGGCCCTGAACAGTGTCAACTGTCTTGTCAAACAGGAGGGCACTGACACTGTGCCGCGAGTGTTTGTGGTGGCATCTGGGACTGTTGAGGTGTGAACGTGGACACTTGAGGTAAAGCAGGTGCAGGGATCTGTCCCTGCCCATGAACTGTGGTAGCCGTAGATCCGATGGGACAAGAGGTGGGGAGGGCAGCAGGCAGGTGGGGAGGGCTGGGGCTGGTAATGACCTGAGGTTACTGAGGAAAGTGTGTTGGGTGGAGGTCAGCAAGTAGCCTCTCCCCTCTGAGCGTCTATCCAGGTGGCCAGTGTTGTGATTCAAGGACCTGTGATGGGCACATAGCGTGGCTGCTGCCCTTGTACGATGAGGCTGTTTGCTTACTTTGCAGAGGCCACAGACACACCGATCGTCATACAGCCAGCATCTGCCACAGAGACCACCCAGCTCACGGCTGACTCCCACCCCAGCTACCACACTGACGGGTTCAACTAAGTTCAGGAAAAGCTGTGATTAGAGGATGAATCGGCACCCAGCCACTGCAACCTTAGAATCATGAACTGTAGTCACCGAGATGGGGAGGCAGCAGCCGACCTGCCTGGCTGTGTCGGGCCCCTCCCACCTCCTCTACGCCCACCCATCCGTCAATCCTCGATACATGAAGTGCGTAGCATGCAGTATTTAAAGCAGTGTAGCTACGGTCTTCTTTGTTTTTCCTTTTTTAATAGCATGTATGGGTTATGTTCAGTGTCTGTGTTGTGGACATGCCACGGCCTAGCTACATTAACTGGATTGTGGAGCTGTCTTGGGGCTTTCAGTCAGATTGGTCCCGGAAGGGCTGACTGCAGCTGCCAGTTTCCATCTGGCCAGTTGGGCTACGAAAGAACAGGCCTCCCTTTGCTTCCTGGTACCCACAAGGGCTGGAGGCAGGTGCTGCCTGGTAGAGCTGCATCTCCATCTTGACTTTGGTGTCCCAAGGTGGGGTCTGGTCCACACTCTGCTCCCTGGCCTTGAGGCTGCAGGCAGGGCACTGATCTCACTGGCGGGGAAAGGAGGTGGGCCTCATCCTCCCAGGTACCACCAGCATCATAGTCATTTAGTGGTGTTTGTGTTGGACACAGTTTGCACCTTGTTTACTTGGCCTCTTGGAAGGATTTCTTCAGTGGATAGATTTGCTGTGGAAAGTACAGGCACATCCTTTCTGAGGGTCAACTCAAGCTCAGCACAGCATCTTTAGCCTGTATCTCTGTCACGTGGACTGAGGTTCCTGTCCTTAGAGGTGTGTCCCTTGCCAGTGTGTGAGAGGTCATGTGTCTCTGTTTCTCTACCTTTCCCAAGTGAACAGCTGGATTGATGGGGCCATGGTCTCTCTTCTCTTTTCTGTAGGTCAGACTCCACATTCCTTCGAACTTACCTGTTTTTTAAATCTTTTTTTTAACTTCTGAAAACTGCAAGAGATAGCATCTGCTTAGTTATAGTCTGAGGGTCTGAGGTGGCCAGTGGCACATGGCTGCTTATACCTAGGAAGTGTAGCATAAGTGTGCAGCCCCTAGCACCCTGCTCCCTATGCTTGCCAGAGCTTGGTCCACCCCCTTGCCTTCGTCTTTGCCTGTCATCCATGGTTCAGCAGAGCAGGAATATTGGGTTCCAGGAGGAAAGCGTCTGGAGCCAAGGTGCCACAGGAGAGTTGGGTCCCAGGGAGGCTGCTATGATGCCTCAGCTCATCAGCCAACCTGGAAGGTTAGTGCTGGACCACAAACCCTTGGAGAAGCCACTAGCAGTCAGTCTGTCCCCTCCGTGCCCCAGACCTTGTGGGTGTACCCTCGATAGGAGAGCTGAGGAGATGTAGACCGTGTGCCCGTACTGACCGAGGTTTGGAGCTGCCTCACCCACGGCAGCTACCTGCCTGTGCTAGACCAGATTCCCGCAGGGTGGATCCCTGCAGATCCTTCCAAAGCCAGGTGTTCTCTCAATTTCCAACAGAGATTGAGGAGGAGAAGGCTTATGCGGAGACTCCATGGCCCAGGCAACTTGTGTGCTCCTGAAGGGTACTTTCCCCTGTGCCTGCTGATTTTTGGCCCCAGCTCACCAGCATATCCAGAGAGGAGGGTCAGGGTGGAAGGAAGTTGCAAGAAGGGGCAGCAAGAGGACAAACCTGACATGCTTCAGAATACCTCAGTGGTTGAAGGTCCCCAGCTCATCCTGGTTAGAGTGCAGTGACACTGCAACCCCTAGCTGCTGTCCCACATGGGCCAGGAGCTGGTTGGCTGCCAGCACCAGGTTCTTGGGTGGGTTTGTCTGTTTTGCTCATTAAAATGATCATGAAGACATTAGGGGAACATTCATCTAAGATTTGTTAGAAATGATGTTAACATCAGATCTCTTGTGGAAGGACAAGAAATGCACTGTTGGGCTTGTCCAGAAACAGGAAGTGAGACAACTGGGTATCTTGTGTGCCAGCCCTAGTATGACATCAACGGGGGACTCTGCAGAAAGTCCACCTGGTCAGCCTTTGTGACTTGCTGGAGAGCATTAGAAAGTGAGTTGTTCTTCCCCCGAATGGCCAAGAACCAGGCTTAGAGTGTGGACAAAGTGGAAAGTGTGGTGGCCTGAAAGGGGTCTGCAGGGACAGCCATCCTGGTCTGCAGCTCTGTGGCTCTTCCCTCCTGTCCCAGTGACCTTGGCCAGATAGCTCTTCAGCTGGAGAGCCCTGGGTGGTGGCTCAGGAGGGAGAGCAGCACTTGAACCCATGACCAGTGACCTTTCTTTGTAAAGCTAAATAAATCATGTAGAATGTGTGGAAATAAATATATGACAGGTGTCAAGGTGATGACAGTGACTACCCAAGGCCCAGCTGGGGATGACTAAACGACAAGGTTGGGAGCCCTTCCTACCACCCAATCTTTTTTTTTTTTTTTTTTTGGTTTTTCTCCGGTACCGGGAACCGAACTCACGACCTTGCGCTTGCCAGGCAGGCGCTTTGCCGCTGAGCTAAATCCCCAGCCCCTACCACCCAATCTTAATGCAAACCCCTCTTCAGTGTTTTACTATGTTGGTCTTAGGCCTGCGTGGTTTTGGCCCTTTTAATAACTAGAGTCTTGGGGAATCAGCTTGTACCATTTCCTGTCTAAGTGCTAACAAATCAGAATGACCCCCAGTTCTCCTCAGACTCCTGCACCAGTGGCCATATCAGGAGTCCACTCCCAGGCTATAGATGGTGCCAGGGCATATTGCCTGGAGAGTGCTGTGGCCATTGTGCCTGGAAGCCTGTCAGAGCCACAGGTGTCCCTCAGGGTCCAAGCAGCACTGGTCACTTCTAAGCTGTAGGAAAAATATGGGAGTCGACCTGTGAGGCCATTTCATGGGAGCTGCTGCTGCTGCTGCTGCTGCTGTGTAGATTTCTGTTTCCACTCAGTGATGTCTTTTCTTGTCTCCCTTTTGGCTTTACTCTATTTTTAAAACTGCTTTAGATATTACTGCTCACTGTTCATGAGCCTTCCTAGTTCTCTGAGGTTCAGTTAATATAGCCAACACCCAGTGGGACCTGTTAGGAAAAGAAACCAGAGCACTCGCTGTAGTTCCGGAAACTTTATCTCGGTGTTGTCGTTGTTGGACTTGACCACAAGCACCAGTCCAAGAAAGGCCCTGAGTCATGAAACATCAGGACGCTTCAGATGTCTGACGCCGGCTTCCACTGGCAGCAGTACCCATTGTCCTGCTGAGCCCATGGCAGTCTATTCCAGGTGAGCCTCGTGCTGGAGAAGCATCCACCAGTGTACCTGGTATCTTGGGAGATGGTGACCTTGGCCTGCAGACTGTCACTGAAGGGTCCAAGTGCTGTGAGCTGAACTGGGGTGGATCCTGTCCCTCCACGGGGCCCTCAGCACACCCTGCCATGGGGAGTGGTTTGAGGGGTATATCAAGTGACTGATCTCATTCCTTTCCAGTATTCTGAGCTGTGAACCCATGCGGCCCAGTACTGACTTGTTTCTGTTGTATTTTGGTTATAAATCATCCTCCTGTGGAATTGGCAAAAGCTACATCTTTACTGTACTCACAAGCACGGTTTGCGTTGTCACATGCTGTGAGTGTGGGCTGTGGTGTGTCTGTGTGTACATATGTGTATATGTATATATTGTGCAGCAGGCCTGTCATGCTGCTGTCCAGTGGCTAAGCGACAAGTACAATAAAGTTCGCTCTCAAGCGGCTCTGGTTTCTTGGCAAGTTGAGCAGGGATAGGGTCTCCATGTGGTCCTCCCAGTCGATGCACAGCAGCAAACTGAGCTGCTCTGCAGAAAGCCCTTGTGCCTGAAAGCACTGCTAAGGCCCCGCCAGCGTTGGACCTTAGGGTTGGGCGTGAGGTGGCTTGTCATAAACATGTCCATTCTTGAGGGCTCTATCCTGCTCATCTGACCCACAGGTATGGGAAATCTAGGAAGGAGGTAACTTGAGGAAACCCTCCCCTTCCTCAAACACTGAAACTACTTTTCTGAGCACTAAATACAATCAGTGGCAAGGTTGCCTGTGAAGGGCAGCGTGGACAGGGACTCCCTGCTGGCCATTTATGGGAAGGGTCAGAAACAACTTACACCACTCTCCAGGAAGGGCCTGGACCAAGAGCCCTGCAGGCAGGACTGGGGAGATTTGATTTCCTGGAACGTGGGGCAGTGTTTCAATCTGAATGTGGAGGAGGAGTTTACACTGAAGCATATATATGCTATTTTTTAAAAATGAAATGTAAATGCATGGAAAGCAATTGTCCGTGCACTGATTTTACCCCACTCCTGGAAACCAATTACACTGGGGTGCGAGTTGCTATCAGAGCCCTGGCTGACTGACTTGCCTACACTCCAGGGGCCAGGCTGGAGGGCTCAGATGGTTTCGCATGGTGATCTCCATCTTGTATGTCTGAATGTTGACCTAAAATAAAGATAACTGTTGTAAAATAAATCTTTTCACAGCAGAATAGGTGTGTCTTACTTAATGATACCTTCAGAATCCTATTAACTTGCATGAATCTTACACTGAGGTGTTGGCTGACCTCTAATCCTTCCAGCTCCCCTGGTAGCTGGGACCTCACATCTCTTCTGTCTGGTACGCCTCCTCTTGTTTCCTTTTTTACCATTCACCACCCCCCCATTTTATAAATACAAAAACTTGCGTAAAGAAAGAGGCCTGTTAGCTAATGGGGCCATAAGCCTACAGGTCCTGGAGGACTCAGTGGCTGAATTCTTACCTCATAGCCCCAGAGCCAGTGATAACTGTACCCATACCCTGGGGAAGCCCTATAGTCTCTGCAGACCAAGCCCACAGTCCTTGGTCCTGCTATCCCTCATCCGCTTGACTGACCAGCACCAGCTCCCTTGCCTCAGCTCGAACTGTCCTGCCGTCCTCCACAGTATTTACCCCACCTTGCTTATGCTGTTGGGCATGGCCATCTTGGCTGGCCCTGTTCCCAGATGAGCAGGTACAGCTATCTAGAGTGGCTGGTGTGGATGCCATCATAAACCAGTCCCTGACTTGACATGGCTGCCCAGTTCCGACTCTGAGCCCTGCACCCCACAAAAGGCTCTGTCTTAAACTGGCAGCATAAAGTAAGGTGGGGAAGGACAGAGGACATCTAGGCAGCTCCGCTCTGATGCATGGGAAACCACTACTGTCACCTGGAGCAGTGGTCACTGCAGCTGAGCTTGTGTTCTGGGCTTACCTGCTGACAGCTCCATTTGGCCAGATTTCCCAGAGTTGTCCTACTCCTCCCTAGAGTACCTGGACACGTGGCTTCAGCAACCTCTGCCCCAGTTGCCGCAAGTGCCTCTGAGCTGATGATCCTGCCTTGTGCTGCCTGCTGGCACCGCCCCCTAGCCCTGCTGACCTCAACAGTCCCTGTAGGGGAGATGAGATAGGCTGTTAACTTGATGTCAGGAAAAGAAGAAGGAAGCCCTGGTCTGGACATAGTGCAGCGTAAGCTCTCATGGCCCTTATGCCTCTGTTCTCCACCTCCAAGATAGCCCTCCTGTCCTGCGCTCCTGGAGGTGGTTCCTGAGTGCATGTGTGCCCCTGAGGTGCTTTCTGCACACATTGGGGCTGCCAATACTAAGAAAGCCACCGTCACCGAGGAAGCCTGCAAGTCTGGCTACTTAATTGCAGAAGCCCTTGTGGTTGACAGCCCTGTTGTCCACCTGAGCTTCCTGTGGGTGGAAGTGCCAGCTCTTCCTGTGCCTTTGGTTTTAGGGTATGACAAGGCAAAAAACTCTCAAAGCTGAAAAGCAATTTAGTTAAGTTAATTTTTAACATATTTGGGGAAGAAAAGCATAAAAATACCTTGAGACCCTCCATTCACTAAGATGAAGTAATCTGATTCACATTTTTGATTTAAAAAACATTAGGGGCCTGGGGATATAGCTCAGTGGGATAAGCGCTTGCCTGGCAAGTGCAAGGTCATGAGTTCAATCCCTGGTACTGCAAAAAAAAAGTTGGATTGACCGGTTTGTACCTTGCCCCCTAACCTGATTTCTTGTCTGGGGTGGCCCTTCTATTTCTGTTCTTTTCTGGCTACCAGTCTAAAGTTTGCCAGGCACATGTGGTGCTGCAAGCCTGTAACCCCAGCACTCAGGAGGCTGAGGCAGGAAGATTGCTGAGAGTTTGAGGCCAGCCTGAACTACATAGCAGGACCCTGTCTCACAAAAGCAAAATAAAAAATAAAGCTTGTCCACTAGTGTCAGTTCCTATATTACCATTTACGCGATTTTACACAAATTGTGTACACTGTACTGTTACAGTGTGACTTTTTCATGCAGTATATCTTTTTGTCCATTTATTTTGGTGCTGGAGACTGAACCCAGGACCGGGTACCTTTTTGTGTGTATATAGAAATGATGGTGGTGGTTTGGTGGTGGTCATACTGGTGATTGAACCCAGGGCTTTCACATTGAGCCACCTTCCCGTCCTCTTTATTTTTTACTTCTTTATTTTGAGATGAGGTCTCAATAAATTGCTAAATTTCCCAGGCTGGGGTCGAATTTGTGACCCTCCTCCTTTAGCCTCCAAGAGTGCTGGGTCTCTGCCAGCAGTGGTTCTTGCTAGGTAAGTTCGCTACCACAGAGGTAAGTCCAGGCCCCTGATGTTTGTCTTCTTAAAATGTGTCTGTAGGCCAGTGTGGTGGTGCATACTTGTAATCCCAGTACTCTGGGAGGTTGGAGCAGGAGGATACAAGTGCAGCCCGGGCAATTTAGCGGGTCTCTGAAGGGTTGGGAAGCGGGCAAGGATGTAGCTCAGTGCAAAGAAGGCTCTGGCTTAAGGCTCCAGCACCGCAGTAGGTAGCTAGGCAGACGGATGGATGGACCATGTGGCTATACCCTGTCTCCTTCGTCCACTTCAGCTCGCAGTCTGCTTAGGAACTGGCCACACAGGCTTTTCCTTTTTCATTTTCATTGCGGAAACAGCTGCCTTCAGGGTGGAGTCGCCGACGTCTGGAGGCCTGTCCTCCCTCGACTGGGCCCCGCGGCGCCGCGTGGCGGCGCCGCGTGGCTTCGCCGCCCTCGCGCTGTCCGGTCCTCAGCGTCCTTAGCGGCAGACCTTTTCCCTGTGTTCTCCTGAGAGTTTTCTTACGTAGGTGGAATCGATGTTTATTATTTTCAGCATTATCTATGTGGTATCCTTTCAAAGCTGCGTCACCGAGTCTGAACGATGGACATTCAGAGCCATGGACAGCGGGACCCCTGCATGTCAGGAGGCCCCGCCTCTCCTCCAGCTGCCTGGTGGTGGCGGGGCCGGCGGGAGGGCGGGGCCGGCGGGAGGGCGGGGCCGGCGGGAGGGCG